AATTTCAATACAAGGGTATGTATTTTACGTAATGCCAATGGAAAGATATATGGATTCACTTGGGGTACCAGGACCATCCAGTAATATATTTGCGACCAGCCTTTCAAAGTGCAGCATCTTATAACTGGTGAGAATCTAGCAAAAGTCATCCACGTACCCAAAGCAACTATATGTAACATAAACAAGAAGGATTTCTGTCTGGAAAATAGACACAAGAAAGGAAGGCCAACTGTAAAAGACTATAAACACGGTACCTAGCCGAGGAAAAATGGTAATATATGGCGACACTGGACGAAGTATATGTGTACCTTGATAACTGTAATAAGTCTCGTTGACATTTATAATGAGCAATATATATATATATATATATATACAAATTCCAGAAATGGTACACAACATGTTGTGAATGTTATTAAAAGGGTTTCATGATCATCGCTGGATGTTGGAACAAGGACAAGCTAGAGATCAGGAGAGTGGATATAAGGGTCAAAGCAAACTGTTTAATACAGACCAATGTTGTGGACCCTATGTACAAAAGTACAGGCTTTGTACAGAAACGAGGTCAACAGGGAATTAGTTGACCAATATAAGGCTTCCAGTCATACCTGCTGTTTAACCATTGCATACCCCACGCAGATGGAGAATGAAATGGCTTATTCATGTTATTCCATATGAATAGATTTTTGTGCAGTTGGACTGTTGAAACAGATGCTAGGAAACCATCATTCTCATGCACTAAATGTATTATGTAAAACATGCAGGGAGGAGTGGTGTGCTTTGGACATAACATCGTCACAACAGGATTTTTTTTACAACAGAAACTTAATTGCAGGGCTGTTGTCAAGATGCAAAGTTGTGACATAAAGTACGATCATATGTGGATATAACTTCATGGAGTGTAATGACATTGTGAGACTCCAAAATCGACTTAATATATCGTACCGAACCCTCTATTATAATCACTATTACATAAGAATATCATTATACTAGCATATCGAAAAAAATGGATAAGATTCTGGGAAACATCATTAATTATTTGTTATGCCTGATTCCTCAGTCACTGTGTATTAAATAACAATACTGTTACGTCTCCGTTCGTTCGTTAATTTTCCGTAAATTCGTTCCGACGAAATTTTAGCGACACAAGACCTTTCTTAAATAAAACTGGTTTGTTCTTTCTGAATACAACTTTCCGATACACTTAATTTCAACAGTCGCGCTATAACAAACGCTATAATTCACCACGAACGTCTCAGTGCTCAACAATATTCTTACTCATTCAATTACACACTCATCCTTGCCGTCACTTTGTGACCGTCTTATATATGCAAGTCTACCCCCAATCTAGTAGTCTCCCGACAATTCACGAAGGTACGAGAGGGACGTGGCGTGATACTAGTCACGTGACCTCGCTGACGCAACAATACTATTCATTAAGGATATAATTGCAAAAGTTGAAAGGCTGCCTTTATAAAAAAGTCAAGCCTCCTTGAAAGTCAAAGTAGTTAGTAAGAAGACAAAACTTTAGCGCAGCTCTTCATGTATTGACTATCTTGTGGTTCCAGCTTATCAACACCTTCTACACTATTCAAGGGCAAACGTTTTCATTTTGCTAAACGATTACTCATTAGTCGTAGTGTAATCCATCACTGATAATTTTAACTTGTCTGGTGGAAGTACTCATATAATAATGCCAGTAATACAGAAATGTTTTAAGAATAGTTTATGTTAAATTACAAATATAAGATTCACGCAGCTATTCGTTATAAATGACGTTTCTTGACTACATAACCACTCTTGTTTTATGAGTTGGTTTTGTTAGACCTATCGTCACAAGTATTTCCACTTTTGGTGTGACGGGTATTTTTCGTTATTTGATTCTTTCTTTCAGATATTCCCACAAAGATACCAAAGGGCTATATTGTACTAGCCATCCCTAATTTTGACCTGATAAACTAGAGGAAAGGCAGCTAGTCAATAGCATTCACCATCAACTCTTATCTGACCGTGTTCGTTTTCTTAGTGCAAAGATACATAATAGTGTTACGACAGCGGAAGTCGCTGGGAGCATGCGCGCTGGAGTTTCTGGAAGGATTTTGAATTATCGGGGAGGCCCGAGTTTGTTGGAGGCGCCCTCTTTTTTAGTATATAAGCCTGGCGAGAAAAACCAGCGCGATTGAGGAGATAGATATACAGATAGATTGAAGACAGAGATAATTCAATCAAGGGAACAGTAGGCACCCTAAGTAAAGTGTGTGAATCACTGTGATTTATACAGTGTGTTATAAGGTTGTTAAGTTTAAAGTGACTGTGGAAATTCTGTGTATTACAAAGTTGTATCGAGAAAGAATAAACTAGTTTTAATTAAGAAAGGACTTGTATCACTAAAGTTCCTCCGAAAGAATTTACACCGGAAGTAAACAAGCAGATACGTAACAATAGGCTATCTGCTCTCTGTCCATCGCAGAAAATCAAACAGTGTTTCAACTTTACAAGTTTTTAAACTTGGCTCTGATCCACCGAGGAACATTGTCTAACTGAAAAGTAGGATTTGACTGTCACCTTTATAACACCTCTGCGGTCACAAAGTGGGGAAAGCAGTTTTTGCTTTGGGGATAACAGGATCAATTAAAAAGACTTTAGAAGCTAGTACTTATTTGTTTTCGAGTTTGTTTAATTCAAACTTGTTCGACAGTTCCCTATAAAGTACGCTACGTTTAGTATCTAAGTCAATATTTAGATTTAAAACTTGTTTAAAACCAAAATACTCTTCCCATCTCTATGCGTTTGTGGGTCATATACAAATACACTTGTGGTAGCTTGGTAAAACTACACGTCACCTTCAAATACGTGCACACGAACACGTGGACATATCTGTTAGAAACGGATACAAGCTAAATAATCCCCCCGAGTCTTATATCCTGTTACATAGTGAGAATAACAACCATCCCTATAATTATAGTATTTTGGCACTTGTGTATAAAGTTAAAATCATAAATAATATTCAACGTTACACTGGTACATAATTAAAAACATTTTATTTGGGCCTATCTATGGCCTTCGAAAAGTGTAACGTCGAAATATGTAAAGTCGTCAACTTTTTGAAGGCAATAGGTAGGCGTAAATGTTTTTTAATTGTATACCAGTTTAACGTTGAATATTATTTATAATTCTAACCATCCCTATAATTCTAGAAAACCTCAAAATTCTTGACTCCAGAACCACAGATTGCTAACTTTATATTTAAAAAACCTTCCCTAGCGTTTTTATTTGAATTATTACTATTTTAGAGATGTGGTGTTCATACTTATATTTAAACCTTTTATATTGTTACGTCTCCGTTTGTTAATTGATTTTCCGTAACTTCGTTCCGACGAAACTTTAGCGACACAAGTCCTTACTTAATAAAACTGGTTTATTCTTTCTGAATATAACTTTACGATACACTCAACTTCAACAGTTGCGCTATAACATACTATAATTCACGTATCACGAGCTAGATTTCAACAATACGTCTCTCTCTTACTGCAGTTCAATTACTCATTACCTACACACATTGTTGTCACGTTGTGAGCGTCTTATATATATATATATATATATATATACACACACACACCA